GGGGGTGTTAGACATTGATCTACCAATCTTTAATTCCGAGCAAGCTCTCAAGCCAGTCCCTTTGCTTCGCAAAGCAAACTCAAGGTAATCCTTACCAGGCTACCTTTCGTGATATTATAGATCATTAATAACAATGAATAATTGTGTAGTTTTGTTTCATGAGGCTCAAACAAACCCCGATCGCATACGGCTCAAATTTGAGCCATGCATTTGGGCCCCAACTGTACAAAGAGCAGGCCTGACAAGCCCAAGCCTTTCTCCTTTCCAGTCAATAAGTTCAACTAAATGATCTTTGGTTGGTTCCATGTCATCTTGCATCTTCTTCTGCGCCATTCTTTCATGATTGTGAACCAAAGCAGGACTTCTGGAGCTGGAGCGAACTAGTGTACAGAGACTCGGCGCCGTTTGGGGCTGGCTTCCAAAAGCCCATCGAGGCCTCAGAGTCGATCAACTCGACGCTTCTCGAGCGCCGGGATGGTGGGACGGTCTATCAATGTCTAGCCTTATGCTTGGCGTCTCTTGCAGCGTCTCTCCTGTCGTGACTTTCGCAACAGCAAAGGGGCGCTTCTCATTGTAGGGGCAACTCTGGGAGATAAACAAATGTCCTAACCACCCTGTAATCACACTGTATAGCCAGTGGAAGAAAAAGAACACCACCAGTGAGTGGGAGCAAAGAAAAGGTTACATCTTGAAAGGAGTTTCTTGGTCATCCATGATTCAAGACCCAGCTGGCATTTTGACTCTCAGGTCTCACATTGCTTGCTACAGCTGGGCATCGGTTTGAACCGACTTGTCACAGCCAAGTCGCTATCTTCAACTGCTGTACCACCCAGAACCTCAACTCGCCGATGTCAACCGAGTCTCGGCAAGCTTTGCGGGATGCGAAATGGAACAGAGCTGTGTGAACTCTGAAAACGGTGCGTGTAGCGGATAAGAACTTTTACAATTAGTGTCTGCAAGGGGAAAAATGTCGAGTGTAGATCCCAAAGTCCTTGGACTCTATTCAGCAGTGCCATCCATTCATTGGCTCTCAAGTAAGGAAAAGCTCAATCAATGCTAGAACCATACCAATGCATAGCAGAGACAGAGGTCATGACCGCCATTCATTGGTAGAGTGAAAAAAATAGCTTCTCTGGCAGCAGGCCAATGAGCTCGAGTCCAAGTGACTGACATTAGTACAATCTACGTTTTGGTACCTGTTTGGAATATGTTGCTGATCGTTGTTCTGTTCTATCAATTGATTGGCCTCACAATCAAGTATCCAAAAGTTGAGCATATTGCATCATATTGCATAAATATATATATATCATTATATATCACTATATCACGTATATTATGTGTGGTGACGGCCCTCAGGATCGTCCCACCGTCGGATCCTTCTCTGCCCGAGCCACCGCCACGCTCCAAAGGCGCTGTGGAGCTGCGCCGGGCCCCGCGGTGTCCACGAACGTGGCCGCTTCGGCTTCGACGAGCTCCGCCGAAGGCGCCGGAAGGGCAACGGGGCCGAGAGCGGCGCCTGCGTCAAGTGGCATCTCGGCAGCCCGTGTCTGTGTGTGTGTGTCATTTCTTGGGTAGTCATGTGTGTCGGGAACCTCCAAAAGAGCAGGTGTTCGAATGTGTTTTGTTCACACTGTTTTGTTGCTTGGGAAAGCAATGACACCGACCTCACGAAGCACCAAACCGAGACTTTTGAAGAACCACGGCCTGTCTCCTGTGTGTCAGGCGGCTGCGCAGGCGGTGGCAGGGGAGGCGGTTGGCTCGGCTGGGAAGGTGCCTCCTGGCCGCTCTTGGCTTTGGAGACTCGGAGACGTCGTAGAGATCCCACAAAGTCATAGAAATCTTCGGTTAGTTTTCATGATCTGGGTGAGTAGCGGCAAGATCTCCGAATAATTGCTTCAAGTGCACTTCCAGGAAATACTGACTTGTTTCATGATTCATGAATGTTTCTTTGATTCGCCGTCCATGTTCACATCGTTTCACCACTATTCACCAACACAGTGGGACGAGCAAAGATGGCCCAGCTGGGCGAGCACAGCACTGGCCTGCGATGAGCCTTGCGAGTCGACGAGCTCCGCACCTTGTCGGTGTCGGACACAGGTCAATTTAAAGCAATTGACTTCTCCAAAAATCTCCGCAAAGTTGAGCCCAAAGCACACACCGTTACCCCTTCTTTGTGCCTGGACTTTCTCTGGGCTGCGAAGTCGGTGGAGCCGCCGAAGCCTCCGGCGCCGGTTGTGGCACCGCTGGCGGCTCCACCGGCTGCACCGGCGGCACCTGGATCTCCCAAGACGACGCGTCACGTGGATTGCATTTCAGAAAAATCCAGTGAAGTGGCCAGAAGCTAATAGCGTCCTTGCTCCTAGTAGCGATGCCCTTTGCTCCTAGTAGCTTCTTGTTACTAGTAGTAAGGCCAGGAGCCCCTAGTAGCGTCCTTGCTCCTAGTGGCTGATGTGCTGATTTCCCAGCACCCACAAGATGGGAGGCCAACGTGGAGGAGTCCTCTAGCTGTTGGGGTGCAGGAGGTGGGTCAGGTGAGCACCTCGAGAGATTCTCAAACTGGGTATATAATTCAAAGGACCCACCTGCCTGAGCCACTCTTGCATAGTTTCAGGAGTCTCCACAGTCTCAAACTCACGTCGTTTAAATAATGCAGGCATCTCTGGTCGGAAGAACAAAAGAACCTGCCTAGCAAACAGGTCCAAGTTTGATCAACCAACGCTGTTTCATCGCAGCACAAACCCTAGCCCTAGATCGATGATGACGCACCTCTGTGGCCACTGGCGCCTGACCTTGTGGCAAGGCCGGCAAGGCCGGCAAGGCCTTCAGCCACCTGGGCATTCACCAAATGCCCCAACCCATGGAGAAGCATATAGAAAAACAGTGGACACAAAAGATGTCCTATCAACGTGTCCGGTTCGACATGGCACGGCAAACTTCTACCACAATGTCCAACTACTTGGAGGTTCCTTAGAATCTGGGAGACAGGACACGTCACTGACGTTGGTACGTAAAGCAAAAATTCCCCAAAGGAACTTGAGTAAATGGCAAAACTAGGATTAAGAAGCTACTAGGGGCTCCTGGCCTTACTATACTAGGAGCGTTCGGACGCTACGAACGGGGCTCCTGGCATCGCTACGAACGGAACAAGAAGCTACTAGTAACAAGAAGCTACTAGGAACAAGTGCATCGCTTCTAGTAACAAGTGCCTTACTAGTAGTAACAAGGACGCTTCTAGTAACAAGAAGCTTGCCTGAGGTCACCACTCCACAGGACCACCCGGTCCCAAGGTTTCGGCTAAGCGGCCACAAGCCTGTGGCGATTGAACGGGGCTGGCCCGGTCTACCGGTCTACCTACTCCAGTATGAGACCTTTCAGGACTGGAGAACCTGGGCACTACCGGGAAGAAATACATGTACATATATACCTGTAACAGTGATCATTGTATACTAACTGTTACAGGTAAGTTCGGACAGACCCAAATACATATATTATATACAAGCCTGGTTTTTACAACATCAAAGGAAATTAAACATCTGTGGCGGTCTCTAGCATATATAAACGTGTCTGTAGTTTTCCATTTTCCATCATTGCTCTGAAACTTTTTTGTGCTTCTAGAGTGCGTGGTGCGTTGTAGGCCCAACTGCTATCAACTGGCATATCTAGGCAAACAAGGGCGCTACCCGCAATTCACCTCGCAATCCCTGTCGGTCACCGTCCGCCCACGCCTGCCGCATCTCTTCTGCTGCTTGGACCTGTAACCTGAACGCCGCAACAAAATGCCCCATGCACCTACAGTTTAATAAGCAGCAGATTGAGCAGTGGATTGTGCCCCATGCACCTACAGTTGTCGATAACTGGTCGGGAGGGTGAAGTACATGAGTTTGTCCTACTCCTCTTTGCCAACAACCCGAGAGCGATCCACTCTCGAAGTGCATCTTCAAAAATGCCATATTCCCAGCCAACATCTGGCAAACGCGGCAAAACGATTATGATCGTTGACCATGCCCTGCCTCCTAGCACTCCCGGACATATGATTCGTGACTGGTCCAGCAATAGACTCGCATTACACAAACCTCTCAACACAGACCCGCCAGGTCATGTTTCAATCCTTGAGAGAGCCATTTTTGGATATTTTTGGCAACCCACAGGTCTGGAAACAGGTGGTCAATCATGCATTCGCCTGAACTGAGCAACCAATGCCCCTCTTCAAAGCAAAATGTGAACCCCCCGCATGACCCACCAATCAACCCAACCAAACGAACCAATCGACGCTCCTTTCACTCGTTTCTTTGGGAGTCTTTGGGAAAGGACCTCCTTTGTGCCAAGGGGCTGCTGCTCCTGCTGCTGTCGCGCCGTCGCGGCCGAAAGCTCGTCCGCCTCCCTTCGGTGCCTGCGGTCGGAGGCCGAGTCCCCTGAAAGGTACCGTGGCCGACCGGCTGGCGTGCCGCGGGAGGTCTGTCTCCAACAAGCAAAGCAGTCTCCAAACGGAGACAAAACGGGTTCTGTCGTTCAGCTTGGTGTACAATCCATGAAGCTACCAATTCTGTTCACCCTTCCTGGGACTTGTGGATGTTGGTGATACTTCATGTGTGCCATTGTTCTGACAGTGCTTATTATACTTGTTGAATTTCAGACATAACCAAGGCCAAGGGTTCCTTCCACGCCTCATCTTCCTAAGCTCTCCAACCCTCCGACACAAAATCGGCTGCTTTGAGCTTCGTTGCAACATCCGTCCTATATATAAGTCCCAGAACTTCCGTCCGCCTGGCAACTCGCTCTTCCAACAACTGGATTTCGCGCATTGCCTTCGCCAAGAGCTCCTTCAGACATCAGAAGACTGGCATTTGTCACAATGGCTGAAGTCAAATGCTGTCGGATTTTGCACATCGACGATGTCATTTTCCCCTACCTAATACCTTGCTGTGGCTGGGAGACCGAGCTTTCGATTGAGCTTGACCGTCTCTCATAACTCATAACACAGGTCACCCGTCTCTCATAACGCTGTACCGAAAACATCTTCATTTTTCGAAGATGAAGCGAGAGACCTGCAGGTTGTTGGAGGTCAGACGAATCATCTTGCAGGCTCCAAAACCGTCATCCGGGCTCTTCTCGGCCGCATCTTCGGGCTCCTCGGCCTCGGAGCGGCTCTTCTCGGCGCGTGCCATGTCGCTCAACAGCACGGCCTGTGTCCGGTGGCGCGACGCGGCGTCCGCAGGGGCGCAAGGGCCCGGTGGTTTGACCTTGGTCCATTGGTTTGCGTTCAAGGTTTAGCTGTTGGTGGCTGTGGAAAGCTTTACGGGGGGTTGATCCGAAAAGAGCCTGATGAAATGTGCAGAAATGTTGGGATGGCGTCTTGGTCTTTGTTCCTCTGGAAAGAAAAAGGTGGCAAGTAATTATTGTGGGATTGCGGACCAAGCCAAGACTGAACATGGAAGGTGCAAGGAAGCAGTCTTGAGACTGTTACAGACTGTAAGGCAGGGTATTCCTGAAATAGGACTTGAGAACCAACCAGGTTTGAATCAACCATGTCACTCATGTCCCATGCCGACTGGTTTGAGTCATCACAGTCGTTTTGCCGGTGCACAGCTTTGCCTGCTGATCCCTCGAGGCATTCAGCTCCTCACGGTCGTACCACCACGAGTACAAATGGATGGTGCCAAGGAAGAACGAAGGAATGCATCGCCACCAAATGTCTGGTGCCTTCAGAGTGACATAGTGCTTCATAGTGTTTCCATACAGCTGCCTATCATTCTTTGTTGCTTGTCGTTTGGGGAGATGTACTCATTTGAGCGGTTCCCTTTTGTGTCCTGCCGAAGCTTCTCCATCTCCTTCTGTGCCAGTTCGGTCTTTTCTTGGGCCTCGTTCGCCTCCGTCTCCAGGCCTGAGCCATCGATGAGGTGGAGCAAGTGATGGTGAACTGTTGCACTGGCACTGCAACTTCTTTTATGCACAAATACCAATGTCAGTGTGAAAGGCAAAGGATATGAGGTGAAAGTCCCCAAGGGGCTCCATCTGACTACTGAAAATCATTGAAAATCGATCAGCCATGGGAAGCTTCTGAGCTGGCATGTTGCAGTCTACCTGAAGAGAGCATGCAGCGGCCAGTCTCTGCGCTAAGCCACGGTTTGCTTCCTCCTGCGCTTGTCGAAGAGCTTCTTGGGCACTCTCCAGCCTGCAGGAGAACACCAGTGGGCATGGTCAAAGGCGCCCGCTTTTGCTGCCCCAGGGAAGAAAACCAAGTGGATGGCACGGGGAAACTTCTTAAAACCATGAAGGAGGCATGTCCCTTGACTTGGGGAGAGAGAAAATGTCAGATTCAAACCGCTGTATCGACCTAGGTGCCACAGTCTGGGAAGCTCCACGGATCTAGGTAAAGCATGGTAAAGCCACGTAAGAGTACTTCTAAAATGTCCAACCAATAAACTGATCGACGGTAAAGCTGACAAAACCCCACCGTAGTTCGCCGGACGTGTGCCCTTTCTGCCCAGCAACGTCTGAGCATCGCCCTTGTCTGTGAGCTCTTTCTTCTCGTCCCTCAAGCGCTGCACAGCTATCTCCAATGAAGAAGCCTGGCCAGGGCCAGGCTCGTTCAGGCGGTCAGGCAATTACAGTAGCCTTTATGGGAGGAAGAAGGCATGTCTGACCCCAAACGTGGTCTTGTTGCTCCAAACAGTGGGAGGTGAAGGCTTTCGAAACTCTGCTGAACAGTGTTGGGAAAGTTGAAACACCAGGACACATGTGAAGGACATCCAAAGTGTTCACAAGTGAGTGAGTGTTGCCTGTTCTCGCTGTGACGGCCATGACTGAAACATCATCAGCAATACTGTATATATAAAGATGGACACGTGCGGATTCTGTGTTCAACCGTCAGCAGCATCGACGCTCGAAGCACCTTCTGCGCCGCCATGGTGACTTCGACTTCAAGTCGCTCATGTTTCTGCTGTAGCGAAGCCTGGGCCGACCTGGTGGCAGCTGTCAGACCCTTGAGCACCAGAGATTTCGTTTCAGCAAGCATCGATGCTTGAAGCTACTGGTTTCAAACCCACACGACCACCTCTTGGGAAGCCTGAGAATCTGTTGTTTGCCCCGAAGTAGAGTCATGAGCTAAACATCATCAAACCTCAATCTTTGGTCTTGGACTTGTCACTGACCTGACAAAGGCTTCTCTAGACCCTCTGGGAACATGTTCGGAAGAGACACCCCCTGCATTCGAGGGGGGAACAAAGGGTACAAAGCGCTGTGGTGTTGCCTTGGCACTGGAACCCTGTGAAAGGGGTAATAGAAATCAGAAGTGTTCAGAAGTGCTCTCAATTCGTCTATCAGCCTGTGACCTGGCTTTTGGGAGGTGCCCGATCGAGCGGTCATAAGATGTATAAGATGTCATAAGGGCAAACTGGAACCTTCACTGAACCTTCATCTTCCTTCATCCAAGCTATGAGCATAGACGTCCAATATCTATATCTCTCAAAGGTTCTCGAAGCATCGTCAAACATCTGCATGAGTTCACCTCCCCATGGGGTTGGGGGTCCGACAATCTTTATGAGACACCCAACGTATGTCTGTTGTGAGCTGCAAACATAGAGATCGCCAGTACATCTCCAAAGTCAATGGGTCTCTCAAAATAAACTCGCCCCAAAGCAGAACACTAATCGATTCAACACCAAGCAACAAGGTACGTTGCAAGCAAAGCCCAAGGATGAAGTGAAAACAAACGAGTCAACTGAGTCAGTCAGCAAGAATCACAGTAAGTAGGACAAACATATATTATATACACTGATATATATATATACTAAAAGTAAGGGCCCTTACTATCTTTTTGCCTGTCTCACTTCCAGTGGGTCCAATTTGCGAGGTTCCCAAGCCCACCATTCCCCCCGTCCTCATTTCTGGCAGCTGTTGGGACTGATCCTTCAGCTTTGCCACCTCCAATAGTGCTTTCCAGGCCGGAGTTGGGAATGAGTCTAGTGCCCCACTTGTGTGAGGGTTCAAACAATTTGCTTTGCAGGCTTGAGTATCACGGAGTTTGCTTTACATGACGCTGGTCCAGAAATTGGCACAAGTCCCTGCTCGCCTAGATGCATAGCCAGAATAAAAAGTATCATCCTATTGTTGCAGTGGTGTGACAGGAATACTCATTCCCAGGGCCCCAGGGATGCTTTGGCTAAAACTATGATCCCCACAAAAGCCCTTGCCAGCCATCCAATAATGGGAATGATGAAGTTTGGCTTGTAGTCAGGCCATGCAACCCCTCTCGTGTGTTGTTTCTGTATCCCAAGGATCTCAAAGAGCGACTGTCGTGCTTTGAGGCGATGACGCAACCCAATCGCACGGTTTCGTGCCCAGGGTGTCTTCATGTTTCCTCCTACCTGCATACCACACTCCAAGCCCGACCGTCCAACCAACGGAAGCGGGGCAAGATGCATCAAACCACCTCTCAGACTCAGCTCCCCGGCGCGGCGCGCCCGAGCTCGGTCCCAGCCGTGCGCCTCAGCCTGGAGGGTCGGCAGCTGCTCGCAGGCGTTGGAGCGCCGTCGCCGCTCCTCCTCCAAGCTCTGCTGGGCCTGCTGCAGGTCCCTGGCACCGAGTGGGATGTGGTCCGGTCTAAAGCACCTGGACACAGAACCGTCTCTGGACTCATCTGCCGTCTCTGTCTCCCTCAGGCCCTCTAGGCAAGAAGCTCGTTCGTGTCCATCTCTGGAAAATAGAAGACTACTAGCAGGGGAAGCACAGAAATTGTGTAGTGTCTCCATGTGTTTGATTGTTTGTGTCTCTTCGGTGTTCAATACTTTTGTTTGTTGGCAATCTTCCCCCAAACACCTATCTCTACTCCACTGGTCACCTTTCCCCGCATTCGTGTTTACCCACCGCCTCGTCAAGGTCTCGCTCTTCGAGCGCTCCTCGTCCAGGCGCCGACGCGCCAGCAGCAGCTCTTCGGTGATCTTCGCATTGCGCCTCAACCCGTAGTATTGCCCTAGCTACTGATGCTACTGGTAGCGTCCTTGTTAATTTGTTACTAGTAGCGATGCCCGAGTCATGGGGAGATCTCGCCACGGGAGTCCGGAAAGGGCAGAAGCGTGGGTCATGGGGTGGTCATTGGTGGCGTTAGAGCAATCATGGGAGCGGAGCAAAGTCCAATGTTCCGAATAGCAACGGTGTTGATGGAGTCAGTTAGAGATTCTATGAGATTCTTGGACGGTACTGGATGTTCTATCTTTTGGGCCGGAGGTGTTGGGAGCCTCCTTGGTCCCTTAGGTCCTTAGCCTTAGCTGGTCTTCAGCATTCGGATGTTGCTCTCTTGAGGGGAACAAATCAAACAGATCAGACTGATCAACACTATGAAACTGGTCCAAAAAGAACAACAACCTCCTCCAAGTCACTGTTGCTCCTGCAACAACAAATCCTGTGCAAAGCCTTCTGCCGTGGTGGATGCCCGCTTCGGTGGAGCTGGACAGCTCGAGACCGACGGCACACCTGCAGGCGCCCACACGGGTGGATCAAACGAACACCCCCGCTTCCCTGCTTGAAAGAACAAACCTTTCCAAACACTTAGGATGTTGGAACAAACCTTTCCTTTCCTCTTGCGATTGATCTGGTCAACTGTCAGAACACCAGATCATTCCTCGACTGCAACTCTTCTCAGTCTCACAGCCCATGTGGAAGAAATAGTATGTATATATACTGTAATATAAATTAAGATGAGTCCAAAAACATCAAGAGAATACTATTCCAATTCTGATCCTCTCATCAAAGAAAGAATTTGGTGAGTCCCTCTGGCACCTGGCGCTCGCCATCTCTCCGCATCACCTGGCAATGTCTAAGCTTTGCGCATGGCCAACCAGCCCCAAACCACTCACGGAACCACTCACGGAACCACTCGGAACCACGCGGCCAAGGCGGTGCCACATGCATCATGCCGTTCCATCGTTCCTTTTTTCAAACCGCTCCGCCTGAGATCTCGAAACTATGATGGGAGTGCAAATACTTTTGATTGCATCAAAACTCCGCTCACCATCTCAACGCCAGCCAATGCCTCCGTGATGGTGGTAGTAGGTCGTTCCATGTCCCCAACCGCCCCTGGGTCCATAGGGGTTGCGGTGGTAGTAGGTCGTGCCGTAGCCCGGACCACCCCGTGGGCCAACGGGATTGTGGTGATAATATCCATAGCCTCGGCCACCCCTCCAGCCAGGAGGGTTGTAGTGGTACCACTCTTCCTCTTCTTCGGACTTGGCACTCGCAACACTCGCAGCACCCTCAGCACGGTGCTCTTCCTCTTTTGTGCTCTTCACTTGCAGCAGCTCGAGGGAGGTATCTGGCTCCTGCTGAAGAGCAGCATTCACATCATCCACACAGCTCTCAGCAGTGTCAGCTCTGGAACACAGCAACTGCACCAGCAGCGCTGTCACGAACACAGCTCGCATGATCCCAAAGGAGAATAGGGGGCAGAGATGGGCAGAGGGGTTTCTAATGCCCTGCGACCACTTATGGGTACAGCCTGATCAAAGGACATGCGCGTCCACATCCGATGCATATCAAGTTTCTCAAATCGGAATGTGGCCGGCTTCTCACAGGAATCATCCATAAGCCATAAGCCTTGTTTACTATGAACGAAACAGGCAAAATCATGTCACCATCAGTCACCACCAATAGCCGTGCAAGACCCGAACCATGAACTGAGCCACCGCCCCCCATGAACCTTTCATGTGCATTTTCTTGCCATCGCTACTAGTTTGGAGGCGCTTTCGATGCGCATTTGATTGGACCGGCCGGGGTGCGGATCGAACCATCGCACATCTCGACACACCAACCGGGCCTCCTTCCGCCTCCACGCGGAATTGTACGCGCACAGCAGGCTCGACGGTGCTGTCAACACCTGTCATTGCGGGAGACCTTCCCGTCGAGCTGTTGCTTCAGACGGCTGTGTGTTCCAAGCAAGGAAAATCTGTTATAGCTTGGCAACTCCTGTCCTTCTTAGCCCGTCTTGTCTTCCATGTTGTCACATCTTACCAAAAAAAATGACCCCGTCTCTGGAACTCTGAGAGCACATCCACGTCATTTCATGCGTTTGAAGCGTTTGAACCATGTGAACCTCATGGCTCTCACCGATGCTTGAGACCTTCTCTGTGGAAGCGACAAGCCTCTTTGTGTGACCCGGTGAATCCCGCTGACAAAGTCAGTCAGGTAGTAAATGAAGTAGACAACGGGGATTTTGCTGGTCTTCACCTTCCTCCCAACTGAACTCTATAGCCTCCTTGCTGCACAATCACCAACCATTCTTTGCCAGGAATGAACTTCCAATCATCATCCCGGACTTAGAATCAAAACGCGTCAAAGCAAATTCAGACTCATGAAAGGAAAAGGGATAAACACTCCCCGTGGCCTGGTGGCTTTGTGAGTGCGATCACATCGCCCGCGCGGAGCGGTGCAGTTTCGCCCCGCACGATGCGCTCCTCGTTGATGTAAGTGCCTCAATTGATTCGCCGGATCAGCGGGGAACAAAGCCATGGGAAAAAAGACGGAAGTTGAAGATATTTCGAAGAAACATGCTAGTTACTTAGTATGTCCTACAGGGTGATTCTCCCAAGCTAGTGCTGTTCCTGATCCTTGAGAGGATTGATCTATATACGTCCTTCCCTTTGAATTCCAGAAATGGAAACCATTTTTCTGGACAGAGGAGTAAACAAGGAGGCTGGTAGGCCTAGCACAAACCATCGATGTTTCTGCAAGCACCTACACTTCCTTGGTAGCCGTGGTCTCAGCCCTTTAATTAGCCTGGTCCATCCCCATCAACTAGCTCACATGCAACCCAATCTCAAGAATCGATAGAGTTTTCGGCGGACAAGCAAGAGATGCACAGGTGATGTCGCACCGCTCACACGTCCACAGAATCCCCCAGTTCAACGAGACAAAGCCAACCGACGCGGGGTTCCGCCGACTCGTCCCTTCGATCTCCGAGGCACCGTTGGTGCTGCAGTCCGACAGTTTGAAGAGACCAGACTCCACGGAGATCTCACAGTGCCTGGGAAAGTGGCAAAGGTGAGACAAAACCATATATAATGGCTGATGATTGGATTGGATCCAATTACACATGTTTGAATTTAGCCAAATAGATCCCAGTAGAATGAAGGGGACGAAAATCAGGAATATCACGCATTATCCAGGTGGTACTACAGCTTATCAATTTCAACAAGTGGTGAAGTCTCAAAAATGCGGTTCGTGTATGAACAACATCAAACTATCGATATGTTACTTTCCGCTTGCCCCTGCAAAGCACAAATGAGGGCACTCGACTCGCGACAAGTCGCTTCCCACTGACCGAGATGTCGTTGCATACCAGCGTGTTGTTGGGCCGGCGCCCAAGCGTCACTGTACCTTATAAGCACAGCAGGACCGCCCTGATTCATCCAAAGCCTGGTAGTCGAACTATTGAAGCTACTGCACAGCAACTAGACTCCAGCATGGCCTGGCTATTCTCCAAACAAAGGACATGTTCGATTCATTTCAAAGATTTTAGAGATCTTTTTGACAAGTGGCCAACCGATGGAAGCTTGAAGGGTGCATCTTGGCTATGCAAAGGCACCAGCTGGAGCCGTGGCATAGATTTCCCACGCCACGAAAAGCGCTGGCGCGCGAAAAGCGAAGTCAAAGGTTCTTTCAACTCTGGAATTGAAGCTGGTGGTTGAAGGGTAGAGATGCCAAGATGATGGTCTGGATGCAGGGGTCGAAAATGCTAGTTCGTACGTTCTGGCATGTTCTATTTCTCGGCACCATCTCTTCTTGATCCCATTCATGATGTTCTGGTTCTGCCACGTCACGGCATTCTTGCTTTGTCATATTACTTTAATATTAAGGAGCGTTAACAGCCAATGGCCTGCGACAAGTGATCGATCAGCACTGAAGTCCAGCAACCCATAGATGAGGAACAAGCGAATTCTCAGGACAAGAACTCAAAAAAATTGTGCCTCAATAAGCACAAATCCAAACCTTCAGAATATTAAGTTTGCGCGTGCTCTATGGGGTTTGAAGTTCATGTGTAAAAGCTTCTACTCAGGCAAGTTGACTCTCAGGGAAAGCTTGCAACCAGACGAGGACGAAAGCGAGGCTCAGTGTTGAGGCGGGAGGTGAGGAGGAATTGCATTGAGGCTAGTGAAATATGGAATGGCCAGAGAGCAAAGGCGAACAACATCTAGTATTGAAGTAGCAACCACAAATTGCAGAATTGTATGCAAGCAAACCCAACAGCCAAAAAATAGGACTAGGGAGTCTTGTCTTACAACTTACTGTAGCATCACTGTCCTCCCGTAAAAAGAAAACCAACACAAGACAAATTGAGGTAAACAAGGCTCAATCTGCTTGCAGCTCGCTTTCCTGACTTTGCCAGGAAAGAAAGGAGCAAAAGGAGCTCAAACCAGGCTCAAGTGTCCAGAAGAGTTTTCAAACAAACTGCGCGATGATGAGGAAAAAGACCTGGAAGCTCTCTCCAAAAAGGCACTGTTTGGCGGGAACATCGTGTAAAGTTGCATAGTTGAGTTGCTTTTTCCGTAGATATCTAAACATTCTAAACCCATGAGGCCCATGAGGAGAATGTCGGGCTCCAAAGCCGTTCGTGGTGACACAAGTCTTCCATTCTGATCGCATGGCGTCACACGCCGCTTTATCACGTCTTCCGCTGCGACGAGGTGAAACGGGAAGCGCCGTTGGAGCACCTCGGCGGGTGTGGCCGTGTGGCCCTGGGTGCGATCCAAGTCCATCGTCCCACCGATTCAAAGAGACTTCACGTCTTGGAAGGACCAGAATCTTGGGTGCTCTCCAGTTCCCAGTCTGGGTGTTCGGAGGTGTTCGGTGTCTTTTGCCAAGGAGATCATGAGTCATCATGAGCTTAAAGTAGCTGTGCTTTCTCATGTTCCTCAAGCGTCCTGAGATCGACACGGCATCAAAGCTCTTCTGGTTTCAACTGGTGACGGGCCAGGGCAAGGATTCCAGGACAACCAGCAAAGTTCATGCTTTTCTGCCAGACAAGAATAAAGATGAATATACGTACCGATATATGTATATCAAATCAAATGAAGGTACGGTCTCTCTCTCTCTCTATCTGTGTCGCTGCAGCCTCTCTTCCACATGCACATCGCACATCCAGACCCATTCTCCCACCTGTGTCTTCAGCACCCCAAAGCGCTTCTTACACCTGAGGAGTCAAAAGAGCTTCATCTGTGGGAACCGAATTCCGGACTCGCCACTGTCGTCAGCTGAGCTCCTCGCTTAATCCGATGTTCTGAGTACTTGTCATCTGGCGAGAACCTCCCGCTGCCGATTGGGTGGTGGCCATTGGTGGTCCCAATCCTTGGAAATCACCTGGGGCCACAAGAATCCGGCTTATAATTTTGACCCATCCTTGAATATGCACATCCCAAAACCCCGAACCAGCCCTTGTTTTTGCCCCAGAATATCCAAGCCTTCGAATGTGTGTCCCCGTGCCTTCGATTCGACGCCAGAGGTTAATCAGCTGGCTCCCCTTCCCCACCTCGCAGGATGAGCCGAGAAGGTGGGCTTCTCCTCCTGACTCTGGGCCAACGGCTAGGCCCCGAGTCACCCAAACGGCGGGCCCTCGGCTCGAGCCAGGGCCGAAGAGCATGGCCAACTGAAACATCTAGCCACTCACCAGCAGGTCGGTGGCTTCGCATGCGCAACCGGGCAGAATGGGAAATGGCAAGAAACTTCCGAAGATGGACTGGAAGGGTTCATAGGAAAACACCCCCCACCCCCTCCCCCCTCTGCTATAGCAGGTGCAGATCAGCCGAAGCTGGCGTGAGAATGATGGGAAAGACTAATAGATCTTTGCCAATCAAACCAATTTCTGCTATCAAAAGATTCCTCTGCCCTGCCAATATTCGCAAGTTCCAGAGAGGTCAACCACCCGTAAAGCAGGCTACCAAAAAGAAGCACTCTTAAAGGTCAGCAACCACCGCCCCCGGTAAGATGTGTTTGGCCAGCAAAGCACTGTTTCAGTCCTCTCCCTCAGCCTGTGTGACACTCTCAAGGGTGTACACCTCAGGATCGGCGTTCCACAGCGTAAGATCCCTCGACGACGGTGAAAACGCTCGAAGATAGATCTATCGCAGGGTGGTCCGTGGAACGGTCCGAATGTCCTTCGAACGGTCCAGAAGTCGCATCAACCAGACCTCCAGACTGGGGCCTCCGGGCCCTCTTGCCGTTCTCGTTGAGATAGTATCGAAGCCTCGGAAACGGGACACGAGGCATGCACGGTGCGAGAGTCGGCCGAACGTTTCAATTTGAGCGACGATGACAGGACCCAGACATCTGGGCCGGGAAAAGAAACGGTGTCGTGCGGTTGTGAGGGGTAAACAACGGTAAACATATGACCGAAAATGACCTTAAGCTGTGTACTGCACGTATGTCACGAGATGTCACGAGTTTCTGCCCATACCCTCCCCTCGTCATCCGATGTTCGGCTGAGTCTTCTGGCTGCATCAGTGCCACCGCAGGGCACGCTCCGCACCAAGTGAGCTAAAGCCATCGGAAAGACTCAGATCAGTCAGATCATTGTCCTCAAAAAGTTGGCATGGAAACTGGTGGGCCCGTTGCCATTATCCATATCTCACTTGGAACCCGAGGCCACCTCAAGGGTCTCTAGCAGCACTAGCAGGTCAGGTAGGATGCATGTCAGATGAATGTCAGGGTTTGTCAAAGTCAAAGTTGCCCTTCTGCTATGTTCCACGGATCTCAGCAAGTTGGGAAATGCATCGATCAGTGAGTAGTAGGTGCTTCCCCATCATGTGAGTAGGAAGCACATTTGGAAAAAATGTCATGTTCCTCTTGAGGCACGTCCCGATGATGTCCGGCCTTTTCCCTAGCTGCTGGTCTCTAGCCACGGCACCATTTTTGTGCCATGGCAGAGATCAATGGGCCTTCAACAGGTATGTACATGCAGCTGTGTGTCTCTTCGTCCCTCTCAGAAGACCGCATCCAGCAACTCCGGATCAAAGCTTCCAGGTGCCTCCAGAACCATAGGTTAGGCCATCGCTATTAGGTTGGAGGCCATCGCTTCTAGGTTGGAGGCCATCGCTAATAGGTTGGAGGCCGTTGGAGGCCATTGCTATTTGAAAATCATATACCTCTTCATGTTTTTAAAGCTTCCAGGTGCCTCCAGAACCTCATTATGACCTTTGATGACCTTTGAGAACGTCATGTCACTGTCACATCGCGCCCTTGGAAAAGAAAAGAAAGGAAAAGCAGGGACCGTTGGCCCGGGCAAACCAATGGACAGAAACGTCATGGGCGTTGGCCTCTGCAGAAACGTCCACGCAGTGCGTTGGTATGCTGACCTAGGTGTGGTGGCCTTTTCAGGTTGGTTGGTGCAGCAACGTGAGAGGCTAGCATGTTGCAACCCCACACGATGGGAACTTAAGCATGACAGAGCCTTCGGTGTATATATACATATACTGTGTATGTATGATCCTAAAGTCTGTGTTGCTTGAGATAGTTCCTCACCAACGTTGTTCGTGCAACTGTTTGCAAGGACGGGGCTTGTGCACTCAAAGCCATTGAAGAAATGGCAACGTTTGAGGCAAGCCCTAAACCCCTCGATTTGGCCGGTATTACGTGCATTGTTGTAGTGCACCAACATTCAAAGTCACAAGGCTTTGAGAGCCTCTGAAAGCATGTGACATGTGTCGCAGTCATGCCCAAAATCGTTTAGATTCCTGATGCAGCTATAATATATGCTATAATATTGGTCTTTCAATTGTCAGAATCGACCGACCACGGTCACTAAACGGGCCAAGTTGCCGTCAGAATGTCAGCCTGCCAGGTTTCCGCCATCTCTTGAGTTTGGTGTCCAAATGCGCAAGAACCAGTCTCGATCACACTTGAACAACACGAACAAATACAGAATATAGATTGGCACTCGCTAGTCTAATCTATCTGTGTCAGACAAAGGGTTGGGAGGGTGTTTGGCATCAGCAATTCCAACAAAGCCGCATGAAAAAGAGTATCACCCCCATGCTGGCTTTGCCTTGGGATCCCAATCTGCACGTGCATCCGCGGCGTTGAAGGGCAGGGGCCTGACTAACTGACTCAACACTTAGCGCGGGCAGGTCCTAACAAGTTTTGGGGATGAACATGGATGAACGCTTGCTTGAACAATTGTGCACAAGTTTAAAAAGAAAAAAACACATCAAAAGATATTAAGAATAGCCTGAGCTCAGGTACTTTGAAACCACTGATGGGAAGCAAGGCTCTGATGCCGAAGATCTGCATAGTTTTTGTAGAGGAAGGTATACACATTGAATGACATTCAGTAGTCACGATTTGGTTCGCTTTTAGCAACGTTTGCTCCATTCATCTCCATTCCTGAGATGTGATTAATTACAGTAATGCTTAACATTTCAGGGCTGATATGGGTGTGTACTAAAATAGGGAGACCTCCCAGTTCGACACCCTGGAAGAAAGAAGATAGACCAGTCATGATCAGTCTACCCATACGGTTGGGTGTCTCCCCATTCCAGTACACACCCCTATCTTCAGATCTCCCTCAGCTGAGCAGCTGACCACCAAATGGAGAGCCCCGCGTATGCGGACTTCTTGGAGCGGGGCAGCATGGGGAAATTCAGCCTGTGGCCAAGCACGATGGTGAACGAAAGGAGAAGTTCGGGGAAAACAGAACTAGGGTGAATGCATAAACTGAGAGCCAGTGGCTGGCAATTGATGTGTTGCCAGGTTCTTTGACAACTGAGAATTTGTTCAATCAGTCTTACATCAGTCTTACCTTTTAATCCTGTTTTAAAAACCTTCCCAGCAAATCGCTTGCTTTTTGTAGTGACAATCATCGGTAGCTTGCCTGGGGCCTAAGGCCTGGTGAAGGCTGAGTGGAGGAGATGTTGTGTTACCAGGAGATTCCATAGCTAGTATTCCATGAAACCGGTGATTTTTTTGAGGTACCGAATCTCCAGTCTGCGATCTCAAGCCCGCTTCACATATGCTAACGAACATGCTGAGCAGTGCCTCACAAGCAAAAGGCATCTGGGAAGACCCCCCTGTGGGGACAGCAACGACTCGCAACGACTCGCGCCGGCCTCAAGCACTCATCACTGACCTGTCGGCAACATCTTGTTGCATCCACATTCAACATGAGTGGTTTTGGGCCTTTTTAAGCTCTCTTAACAATCCCAAGTCGTCATTTCACCATTTTCACCATTCTCTTCAATTGAATTGGTTACTAAGTACGAGGCAAAGGAGGTGTTGATGTATCCGGATAGTGATTTGCCAACCCATTTAGTCGCCACACCCACATCTTCAGTTTCTTGACTCTCCTGAGCCCACGCTTCACTGTCACACCCTTTGGAACTCTTCGGATGCGTTCGCCTCCAAGATGAACTGCTTCAGCGAAGCCATGTGAGGATCCAGGTCTGGCAGCTTCACTTGCACACAGCAACTCCTTGGACCGGTACACGGCATTGCAACAAGTCTCACAAAGTTAATTGACTATTGTTCCTAGTAGTAACAAGTGCCTCGCTAGTAGTAACAAGTGCCTTACTACTAGTAACAAGAAGCTACTAAGTTGCTCAAGAAGATCTGTTTTTTTCTGAGTTCCTCTGTTCGTCCTTCTCCCTTTCAGAATTTTAAGCTGTGACCAAACGATCCACAGTCCGGGCCACGCTCAGTTTTTTGGTATATTATGAAATTTGGCGCGTGTGCTATCGCTTTCTTTTTTTCCGGTTTTCTAGTTATCGTGAATTCGGGTGAGTGGCTTGTGGTTGTTCCGCAAAAAGCTTGCGTTTTGAGATCCCACGCCCATCTCTTTATATACTCTTCCGTCTGTCTAGTCTTCCGTCTGTAACTTTGAGCACGTCCCTCTCCTGCTGGCGAGCATTTCCCGAGTGGCCTGGTGATCAGGGCTCCGAAGGAGAATGCAAGGTTGGGAGACGCCAATGAAGCAAATCCTCAGCCTTGAAGACCCCTAGTGCTTGTGTTTTGGAGGGTCGGGACATCGAGAAGAAAGAAAACACCTGTGAACCATAGCAATCCCGTACACCCGGCAGCATGGATCAAAAGACTTCGACTTCTGGCTGGAAATGACCTTTTTTGCGTTCAAACCATCTCAAAGAGCCTTTTTCACTTGGGATAACAATTCAACTATGGCCGAAAACATCCGAACGTTTCGCAAAAACACCACCCAGACCTCTCAAAAAGGAAATGCGCGTTTCGAATCTCGCATAATGTTCGAAGCACCAGACGCCGCTCACGGCCGCTCGCGGTTGCAGCCGCCGCCTGCTTCGCTTGGACCTCAGCATCCACCTCCTCTTCCTCTTCTCGAAGTGCCTGCCGGGAACTTGAGTGGGATTCCGACAAGTTGGGGGCCAGTGCGAAAAGCCGGAGACAGCCAAAATGCTGGGATCCAGAAATTTGGTTCTAGCGTGGTGCTTTATAGCTTCATAGAAAACGCCTGCGTCACGCACACCAAAGTCAACTGAATAATTCACCAAATCACAAGCCAGTTTGTCTACCTCATGTATATTGTCGTTGTGTGCAACGCTGAAAGGCTTGCGTGTCTGGTTACCTTGACTGATCCACTTTGAGGAAGCAATGAGTCTATGCGCGCGCAAGTAGAATGGTGCGGCAGTTTCGTAGACATAGGTGGCATAGGATTAAGCAACTCAGTTCGCTGTAGTTTAGCTTTCAATATGCAGTTGGGAGCCCCTGACCACCGAAGACGAGACTCCTAACCAGTCTTGGAAAAAGCACCGTTTGTTATGGTTGGTACAAAGTGACTTCGAACAAACTGTCCCATGGATTTGAGGCCATAAGTACCGTTGGTCCATGCTTCCCGTGCCTTGTTCTTCATGGTCCCCCGGATCTTCTCCTTCGCTCCGATTTGAGTCCAAGAGCCCCACGACACAAGCCACCGGTTGATCCGGTGTCACAGCAGCCCCCCTGTTGAAGCCAACAACCTTTAAGCCCGTCAGGAGGTGGAAGAGATCTTGAGACGGGGAGGTGGAAGAGAAGAAGCACCAGGCCCCTGGCAGGGGCCAACAAGAAGAAATTGCCCACGGCATTGCTCCCAATCATGATGGATTTCCTCTGAACGTGTTGCCAAATGCATCGAGAAGCAAGACCAACCATTGGACAGTCGTCCAGAACAGAGCGAGCGACCCAGGGATGCCTACAGCCTGCAGCCTGCTTCTGATAGCTTGTGCAACTACATCACAGAGAAAGTGCTTAGAGTTCTTGCTGCCCTGCCTGGAAAGTGTTCACGCGGTAGCAAGGCAGGTCAAAGCCAAACAAATAAGTTTCCTGCCACAAATCATTTGTCACAAGATTTGATCCCACCCACAGCTGCTCATATCCAAATCTTCAAAGATGAGAACAAACAAAAATACCTCTCTGGTGTAGGAGTAGGTATGTAATGCTATTTGTATAGCTACTTAGCGACATAGTTGGATAGTTAGCTGGCTGGTTGGTTGGTTGGCTGGTTGGTCAGCTGGTTACTTGGTACAGTAGGTTGCTTTGTTGGTTAGCTATGGTTAGCTCGTTCGTAGTCAGGTGGCTACTCTGTCAGTTAGTTGATTACTAGATGGCTTGTCAAGTTGAAATTGCCTCTACACGCATGCTGTCACAGGGAAACAGCATTTTACCAACGAAACCAACATCAATCAAAAATCATCAAACTAACCAAACCAACTGACTGAGGACTCGCTGACCCCAAACTTCAACCGATGAATCAACCAACCAATCAACGACCTCTTTCAACGAATGGCCGATCTGACCAACAAATGGCGAGTTCTTGCTGTTTCATCTTCTTTCCTGATGTATCGTTTATACTAGGGGCTCTACTAGGAGCAAGGACGTTACTAGGGGCTCCTGGCATCGCTACTAGGAGCAAAGACGCTACTAGGGGCTCCTGGCATCGCTACTAGTAACAAGAAGCTACTAGGGGCTCCTGGCCTCACTACTAGGAGCAAGATGGAGCAAGGACGCTTGTAACTAGTGCATGGTCGGCTGCCTTCGTGGCATCGTCCACATCCTCCGGAGGCGAGCCCCAGTTGCGTGTAAAGGCGTCCTGGCGTTTCCCTACGGCATGAATCTACGTGCAACTCTTCAAGAAAGGCTTTCAGAGTTAGAACCCCTGAATGATAATATACAGATATATACAGTAGACATCTTGATGAGATTGCCAAGGCCTATATAGCAAGTTGATCTACTTCTGGACCTCTGGCCAAATTGAAAGCTCTTCTAGGAAAGCCACGGCCAGCAGCAGTCGCCGGATCCTCGCCACCACACCCTATCATGCCCCCTGAAACAGTCCCATGGCTACCATCGACGTCGAGAAAAATCTCCCACCTCCAGTCGGGGGGCATCTGGCAGGGAGTAGTAGACTGTGAAGTCTGGAGGCGATGGACCATCTGCGCAAATCAGGCGACGCCCAAACCCGCTCAAATCTTGTTTTGAGGATCGAAGTGGCAAGCCAATCAGGGCCCCAGGAGCAAACGAAAAACGTGTGGGAACTTGGGTACATGCTGAAGTAGTGGTAATTTGGTAAGTCTCAAATAAACAGAAAGAGCAAGAATGTATGTTATCTGTAAATGCAAAGTTCAATGCAGGCACAGCAAAGGGGGCCAGGGGAACAGAAGCTCTGCCAGTTCTGCGAAGGTTCAAAGTCCACGTGTCAAGGTGCAGTTTCACCTTGACGTGTTATGCAGGTATCTAGAGGCAAAGCACCTTGCCCTTCTTGGGAGAAAAAGCAAGTTGAGTGAACCCATCATCTTGCCACAATGCAGTGCGAGTCCATTCCACAGTCTCTTTTTTCGTGGCGAATCAACTTAACTAAACTCCAAACCCTGCCACTTTGGGGTGGGATCAGCCCAAGCGCCACAGAGTGTGGAATCAGATTCTGCCCTTTTCGCGCGAAGTGGTCAGCGCCAACCACTGGAACACGGAACGACTCAGGACGACCTTTAGATGAGATGCTCTTCGAGCTCATGACCTTGAGAGGCCCTCATACCCCTCAAAACAAAGACCAGACCTATGAGGGAGAAGGCGACCACGAACACCAGGCCAGCCAAGCCAGCTTGGAGGTAAGGCATCCAAGATTGCCTTGAAAGCTCTGTGAAGTTTGGAAGGTTCTTGTACACATTCAGCGAGATCGGCTGCCCCTCAGATGAGATCAGGTGCTTCGATTCACACTGCTCAGTCTCTTTTTTCAGCTCTGCGGTCAAATTCGTCACCATGTCCTGACATGGAGACAGCAAGTAGTCCACACTCTTGTCTTCTGCAAAGGGCTCACAGCAATGGAGCAACTCAGTATCCAGAGAAGGCTTCATCGAGACCATCACGTACTCTGCTTCCTTGGCTTCGAAAGTGATGGTGTTACTGTAAGCTTTGATGTGGCGTTCTTTGTGTTTCAAGAAGTGCACAGCAAAAAAAAACACTCATCTGACATGGCCCACAATTTATGGTTGTTAAATGGGTTATACTATACAGTTAGTTATACAGTTATGCATCCAAAGGGGAATGGCCGGTTGCACCACTTTTCAATGCCCCGGCAAGCGTCACAAAGGCAGCGTTCACACTTTGACTTCAGCTCCTCCTCCATGTGCTCATCATCGCACTTGTCACAAAGAAGACCCCAGCACTCTGACGTCAACTCTTTGGACAAGGTCCGGTTGACCTCCGCAACGGTCTGGTTCACGCAGCTGCTCACCTTCCCCAGGGTCACCTTGTGCTTGGAGATCCACTCGAGGACCGGAAGGGACACGGCCAAGGAGAGGATCAGCGCCAGCAACATGAAGGACAGAAGGACACCAAAGCAACAGCCCCCAAGACAACAGCCGCACTTCACTCCGCAGCAACAGCAGCGGCCACAACAGCGCGCCATGGGAAGAACACGTGGGGGGTAGAACAGATTGAGCCGGAACGTCTTCTTTCCGGGTCACACCAGCTCATGAGCTATTCATAAGCAGCTGTGCATACAATAACATACCATGAGATTTAAACATGTCAAAGCACCATTACATCGCGACATCCTCTGTTCTGACGGGAAAGGTAGACTGACCGTAAAAATGGACTCTGGCCTCCTTGTTCCATGATTTGTTTCTTTGCCTATTCCCTATATATAGGGCCACGGGGTTGTTTTGAGCTTGTGCAGGATCTTCCCCTCCTCTCCTCCGGAACGCTCCCCTCTTGGTCGCGTGCCTGTGGGCTTCGCGAAGGTTGCTGACTCTCCAGCCGCACGCCTGTCCGAATCCGTGGGATTCCAAACCATTGTTTAACCATGTTTAACCCTAGTATGGTGAAGTTCCCCCTGTCAATCGAAACTTTGGAAATTTGGGGGGTGGAGTGTGGAAGCCTGCTTTTTCATCGGAGCAAAATACAAAAAAGAAGTTGGAGAGTACTGTACCATAAACCCTTGTCTATATCAAATCGGCACCTACAGAGTTGCAGCAACCCTGCCTCTCCAATACCTGGCCCCTCCGCCCTCACCACCCTGATATCAATTCGACATGTCGTCCAGTCCAGTCCCTGAAACCAAAAAAGACGCAAGAGGATGCTGCGCCTGCTGGCGCTGGTGCCCGGCATTGGGGCTTTGGAGTCATCCACTTCCTGGATCGGACGGAGAATCAGCGAAGCAGGGACCCTTTCGGCGCGGAGTTGGGGTGAACCAGGTAGGTCTGTTGCTTTGGACGGAAATCTAGATTGCTCCTGAATCTGCGACTCCTTCTTCTTGCCTCAGCCGGAAGTAGAATTGTCAAGCCGGATTTCAAGGCAAAACAGCCGCGATGAGTCCAAGATTCCAGCACGTAATACAGATACAAACAGGACTTGGATTGAGAGCTAGCACTAGCACTTTCAAAAGCAAACAATGTTCTCACCCAGGAATGAACTCTTCGCTTATAACCCCCCAAAAGATCATTGGGCTGCGTGCGAATGCGCTGCAGCTGAACGGAGGTTCCCTGCATCCAGCCGAGTAGACTCTGCAACGCGCGTGTCATCGAAACTCTGTCTGTCTTCAAAGGTGTGAAACGAGCATCTCGCAAGGTCTGGCTGAGTGGACAACGCGTTTTCTCCAATGCCAAGGCCGGCGTTTTCTCGACTAGTGACTGGTGGAACGCCTTGTACTTGATCTTGGGCAGTTTGAAGCGGGCATCCAACCTTAGGAAGCTACACCAACCGATTGCGCGAAGCTACATTGACTAGGGGGAATTCTTTTCCGCAGGAAGGATATGGAAGGATGCTCCAGGCAGCTCTGGATGTTGTTCATCAACAAGACTATGATTGAATCCTTTACAGTAATCCTTTTTACCACCCCGTGTTGCACTGGATGTTTGCGCATGGAAAACCGGAGAGTTCAAGATTGCAATTGTACGTAGTATTACAAGTAGTTGCATCCTTGCAAGGCAAAAAAGACCGTGTATCGAAGGAATGGCAAAGCTGCCGGTGCTGGAAATGTTGAAGATATTCTGGAATGTTGAGCAACTATCATCGCAAGGAGGACCTCTTTTTGGTTCGTCAGTTCGTCAACTTCCACCCATGCACCCACGGTCCCCTCCCTTTGCCGACCAGGCGCTCAATCTTGTACTTTTGAGCCACTGCAGCCAAGCAAAGTTGGACCACCTCTACATCATGTTTGACGGCTCTTTGAATCTCTCTATCTCCATGCTTGCCCACCAGCTTCCAAACTCAGCAAGCTTGGATTAGTGAGAGAAACATTCATGTCACCAAGGTCAATAACTATCACAACCACCCATGTCCAATGATTTCTCTGTCAACTGACCATCGTCGCCCCAAAGGTCCACCGTGAACTTGAACGGCCGGACCAAAAGCCACCGCTGTCCACCGGGCCTGTTCTCGGAAGGCCGGCTCGGTGGAGCACTGCTCCACCACCTCGCAGAGGTGGTGATATGGTGCAGAATGGAAGCATGTATGAAAAATATGAAAATGGATCTCAGTGTTCAGTTTTCCACCACAGACCATAGCCCTTCCAACTTGGGATCATTCCATATCTTTCCCCGTGGTTCTGCATAGATCACCAAAAAGATTCCTGCTCAGAGGACACAAATCCGTCCATCCACTTGGGAGCGTTGGGGATCGTTTTTTGATGTCCAATGTCCATCCTTCCTGTGGTCCAACATGGCCTCAGGGTTGGCCACGACATCATAGCTGATGCAGGGCTCCCCTTTTTTGTCAAAATCCTCGCAGACAAAGGAAAACTGTGCGCGTTGCCCGACTTCAGCAGTTCACGAAGTTATCAATAACGAAGCAAACACAATCTGGACAACAGTGTCCGAGAAGAAACTGAGTTTCATGCCACGAAGTAGAAGGTCCATCATGTCGATCTATGTAGACTAAATCCCTCAAAAGCTGCGGAGTCCGCCCACTTCCAGTACCCCAATCCAGCCTCTACAGGGGTGCCAATTGACAAGGGCACGCGGCAGCCTTGCTCCCCTCCAACTCTGTGTAGCTCTTCATGTGAGGTGCCTCTCGCAGCAAGATCATTCCCCACACCACAGCTACACCATCAACCAGAGACAATTCCAATGATCATTTCACAAATCCTGCTGAGTTTTGCTGCAGCTCTTTTTCCGCTGGCCAGCAAATGGAGAGCGAAGAGCATCAACTCCTTCCAACGGCTTTGAGTGTACAGTCAGCGGCCTGGGATGGGCTGCCGCACAGGATCAAGCCATCTATGCAGTATGCAGCAAAGTTTAAAAACATCTAGGGATGCATCACATTGGCAAATACCTTTACAATCTGTACAACGATCACTGGAGTCAGCTGAAGTGTTCAAAATCTGACGGAGGGAAGGCAGCCTGCCGGTGGAGGCCACTATGGTGGTGAATTCTCCGAAGCTGGATGGTGCTGGATTCAGACTCAACATCAAGTCTACTTGATCGGCATCGGCTGGAAAATTGGAGAATGGAAAATCTTTAAAGATCCTTCCATTGCGGTGGACCAAGACGGTCATGCAAGGCCCGCCTCAAGCCACGTTCCATCTTCTGTTCCAGGGTCTCCTTGTTGGGGTTGGGTTGTCCTCCACCAAGACGGTCATGCAAGGCCCGCCTCAAGCCACGTTGCATCTTCTGTTCCAGGGTCTCCTCGTTGGGGTTGGGTTGTCCTCCCCCAATGCAATGGTGAAGAAAGCTCCCGAGACAAAAAAATAGTGCCACCACACAAGGGGCGGCCAACACTTCCACTGGCAAACCGCTCTCGCTGCGAGAAACTATAGGGCAGCGATCTTGATCTGGCGGATTGTCAAGGATAGCCTGGATAGCTGAAGCTTTTGAAGAACTGAATCGGAATGTTTCAAGGGTCCGATAAGCTCGTCTGGAAACGACAGCTCCGGTAGGCATGTAAAACTCATGTACTGGTCCTTGGTAGTAGTCACAAAGCTTTCTGCGACCTCGAAACGCATTCCAGATTTCTTCCTCAAGAAGTGCAGCATCACATGTGCCGTTGGTCAAATTCCCCACAACATGTTCCCAATCAGTTTTATAAATTGGCGAGATATTGTCATGAGCGTAGAGCTTCACAGATTCTTTGTAGACTTCGTGCACACACAAGTCAACATGTTCTGGATAATTCTTTGCAGCCTCTAGACTTTCAATCTCACCTGTCACTTTTGGTGAAATCATCTGCGCCACCAACGCGGAACCGTAGATTGTGGTAAACAGCAAAAGAAAGAAGGCGAGGCCCAAACGCAACATGTAGGATGGACGAGAGATTGGTCTTGTCTCCGTCAAGACCCTGGAGTGGGTGACTTTCTCCTTGAAGACAAATGCTTCGAAGGTGCCAAGGATGCAATCAAGAAGTTCATTGACCACCCTTTGATACCCTGTGTAAACATGCTCCGTTGCACTTTGCTGGGATTCATTCTTCATCTCCAACTTGTGAAGGATACGCATAGCGACAATGAAGCTGAGCACCACCCCCGCGAACAAAGCCCAAGCCAACGGACGAAAGACCAAAGTCCACCAAACCCACCCCTGATAAGAGTGCAGGTCATTGCTGGCACAGAAAGCACCACACCGACTTTTTGACACTATGAACACCGGAGCTGCGGCAAGCTCAATGACAAAGGTCATTTCTTGTCTCTCATGTGTCAATACAAACTTCCCAGTGCACAAGTCCACATAGCCCATTGCTGTTGCAAAGGCGCACAGATCAAAGTTGCTGGAAGTCCGATCTGACCATACCGCAGGATACAAGTTCTTGTGCTTCTCGAAGGCCTCGATGATCTCGGAGAAATTGGAATCAATCCCACTGCTCTTCGGGATCGGCGTATGCTTGATCCTCACGCTGGCTTTCTCCAGCATTTTCAGGGAGTTGCTCCAAAAGGCTGCCATCCGACCTCCTATGTAGCCCCGCCCAGTATTCGTTAGGTCGAAGACCCTTAGGTGATCATCGGCCAGAAATGCAGCCATGGACTTGACAAGGTAGTCTGCACTTCCAGCTTTCACGTTGCCACAAGTTGCATAGGAATATGGCCCCACAACACCCCATTCCCAATCCAGACGGCACGTGCTTGGGTCAACATAGCACCACTTCGATTTGCACCAAGATTCCCGGTGTGTGACACACCCGAGCTGCGCCCCACTGGAGTGGTTGTGAATGTGCATGGCAAAGGAGGCATCTGTTGTGTGATTGTGACATCCGATGCCAAAATCGTCATGAGGCGTCCCATTGTGAACAAGGTTCTTTTTCGTGAAATTGTCGTGCCCTTCCAAGCACGGGCACCATTCACGAGACCCACTCTCTCGATCCTCACTCTTGCAAAGTGAGGCCCAACAAAGTGACAGAAAGACCGCCAAAGCCCTGAACAGCCCCATGGCTTCAACTGACAAGTGACTAGTGACTAGTGATTGGAAATTAAAAGCGCTCTCCACTGCCAAACCTCAGCCAAAAGGTAGAAGTCAAAGACGACCACAGCTAGGCGGCTAGGCGCTAAAAAAACAAACAGCCTCTTCAACACAGACTGTGTCATGAAAGAAAAATTGCACATGACTCCAATACATTGGCATGTTTCCGCATCCCTTTTGCGATGAGCGGAGCTTTAGTCGTCGAGTGTTCCTCGTCCACAACGTGTCAACAAACCCAAATTCCACTCGTGGAGTGCTACTGTTTTGTCTCCGTGACTACACCGCAGTTTGAAGCAGGTGTCCAACCTTCCCTGCACCGCAAGTGCCTTCTAGAGTATTTGCCACATCATCACTGACAATGTGACACTTCCAACAGTTGGCCTCGATGTGGGGACTCGAGACGATGTTGATGAAGATCTTTGTCCCAGCAGCATTGTCTCGAGTCTTGATCACCTCAGTAGTCTCCAAGATCTGCCAAACCAGTTCGGAAAAACACAGAAAGCGGAGCAGTAACCATTTTTGCTGCAGGGTAACCAGATCAGGTGTCTGTTTGCTAACTTTATATTTGTCGGACCTAAGTCTGTCAGAGTTTTTCGATGGTTTACGCACATTACCCAAAAAGACTACCTGCCCAAGTCAAACGGCAGAGAAAAAGCAGCCAAGTGGACCAACATCACCGCAAAAATGTAAAATAACAGCAGCAAAGCCTTCAACATAGATCCCACGGCCCCAATCACTTCCAACATACCTCAACGAGAAGCCTCAAAAGAGCCCCAACATTGGGTGAAACGTGCCAATATGGAAAAGGATATGTCCCAAGAATGCACCACACAGACGTGCCCTGACCACCCACTGGAGCAAGCTTTCATAAGCAAACAAAAAATAAAAAAATCAAAACCACCTTTGTTACACTTGTCGGACCTCGTGTTTCATTATTTTACAGTGTTTTATGCACATTGCCCTTCAAAGCCTTTGAGTGCCGGAAAACAAGGAAAGCTTCAAAAAATGTCTCCCGTGCAGGTATAATGCCACTTTTTGAAGGCAAACAAGCTCAACACAAGCCCACCCAAAGCAACTTTTTACCATAAATTACAAGTAGTTCCCGGGCAAGCCGGCGGCGGAAGTTTCCTATAAGAAGAAATTGACCTTTAGGAGTGTCCACGTTCTCTCCAACATGCGCGTCCTCCAGTCAAACGCACGCGCTCCGGACTTTTGACCCACGGGATTCCACGTGTGTAAGGTGTGTGTGTGCCCCCTGCGAGAGATGACACACATCCGGCCACCACGACTTGCCAAGGATGCGGTCCACATCGACACACATCCCACCGTGGCATTCTTCAGTGGCGGCAAACCTTGCATATCACACATCGGACTGAGTGGAATCCGAATTTGAATGTAAAATCTGTCTTGAACTCTGAGACTAGAGACTATGTATGATGAGTCTTGTATGATGAGGGGTGTATGACAAGTGATGAATGATGAGTGGTGTATGTTGAGTGGTGTATGATGAGTGGTGTATGACGAGTGGTGTATGATGAGTGGTGTATGCTGACTGGTGTATGATGAGTGGTGTCCTGACCAGCAGTTGAATGTCTTGTCCTGCATAACTGCAACCAAATACTATCAGTATGAACTGAACGCGCACGCCGCGAGAGATGACTCAGCAGCGAGAGAAGACTCAGTCGCGAGAGATGACTCAGCCGCGAGAGATGGCTATAGCGAGAGCTGACTCAGCAGCGAGAGATGAATGAGCAGCGAGAGATGACTCCTCCGCGTACTACACTGTTCGCCAGTACAACTCTAGTTGTACTACGAAGTCGCCAGTTCTCAGCTTCTAGCTGCACAGATT